TATTTTGGGGGGGTATATAACCAAATAAATAACAAACCAGAAAATTGTGTACAGTAAATATCCACTCAATATGGCAATTTAACCTTCAGGGGAGAAAATTTAAAAGGGGTTAGGGAAAAAATAGAAAAATGAAGAGGAGAGATTAGAAAGAAAGCTGGAAGATGAAGGAAGATTATAAAAGTTTTGGGAACTGGTGAAGAAGACAGGAAGGAAAGGAAGAAGGTAGAAATAGAAACAAGAAAGTAAAAAACTAGAAACAATGTTTTCACTCTTATAAAAATGAGAATATTTTGTGCCCTCTGGTCTCAAGTTTGGCCAGCAGGATATCAAGATCACCAAGAACAAGTTGGAAGTTGACAAGGACTTGTTAAAAAATATTTTCAAGTTTGACGGAGAACTCTGACATTTAAAAAAAAAAAATGAGAACAAACAATCAAAAAAGAGAAAGAAATTTAAAAACTGAAGAAAAAAAAAGCAAAGGAAGCAGAAAAAAAAAATGTCCACTTCAGGGAGTGTCTCTGCTGTTATGGTTGACAGAGTGGACAGAGCCCTGATGTCAGTATTGATTAATCCCAGCAAGCCAGCAGTAGATTTATGGCAGTCATTGATAATCCCAGCAAACTGGCCTTTAGTTCTACTGAAGTTCAGGTCTGCCTGCAAGGTCAGGACCTGAGTTTTTTAGCCTGCAACATTCCAATTGCCTCCTGCCAGCTTGAACTCAGTTGCACCTCGTTCTGACACTTGGAGCCACTAGATGGAGCCACCCTATAGCTGCTCTGAGTTTTGACTTCCTTTGCTCCCTTTCCAAAATGGCCAATCACCCTCTCCTGGGGGACATCTGAACCCAAATAACTCACCAGCCATTGCAGGCTGCAGCGTCCACTGCTCTGTTCCATTGGTGTGTTTTTCCATGGAGGCCTCTGGGTTGCCAGTAGTTACCGTGCCTCTGCAGGTTTCAGCTGCCCCTCCCAGGACACCAGCTGGGACTCAAGAAGAAAGTGTTAATTACCCTCTTTTGTGTTGTGGTCCCTCTCTTCATTCTCTCCATGGGCTTTAATTCTCATTTCAGATCTTTGCTGGGTCCCAGGAACCCACTTCTCTCCCCATTCTCTTCCTCATGTTGTTATATTCCAGCATCTGGATTCAAAGTATCAGAGAGGCTGTTTCTCTGTTGCTCACCATTCTGCCACCTTTCCGGAAGTCCTGTTTCCATATTTTGATTATTATGAATAATACTGCTATGAATAATTGGGTACAAATTTTTGTGTGGACAGCTGTTTATGTATACTCACCACTTTCTTATTTTTTCATTTATTTCACTATTATTTGGGCTTTTACTGGGGAATAGACCACAGAAGGAAGTAAAATGTTGTATCTACTCACACAAACTGTTTATGGAATAATGCTATAGAAAAAAGTTTCAGATTTTAATTAAACATGCTATTCTTATTCCTAGTCTGAAGTTCTTTCATAGATTCATCCCTTCATTTTAATTTTGACATTTCAGCGCAATAAAAGAACATGAATAAAACTTTCAGAATGGTATTTAAATAGACAAAATGAACATTTCAAGGAAATATAAGATGGGCTATACTCTAAAGAAATGTTCTCATGAATCTCATGTAGTATAATATTATACAAATATTTAAGAACATCAATACTATAGTAGTAAATATCTCATAATGACAGTTTAATGATAGATTACTCTCCCATTAGAAACCAACAAAAAACAAAATTAACATTAACTGTCACTTTAATGGAAATTCTTAAATGTGAACTAGTAATTGATTTAGAAAATTAAAAACTCAAGCTACCTTTTAGTTTAGTATCACTACATTGCTTTAACAAAGATACCTCTATCTCTTCAAATGACCTAATATCTATATCTATACATCTCAGTTAATAAATCATATAATTTTTGCATTTATAGTCCATTTTGTATTTGACAAAAGTATTTCATGCACACTAAGTATGTAGGAACAAACTAATCTGCTTTATGGACTTCATTCTCCATACTTTGGAGTAAGTAATATTATTAAAAACTAAAGGACCAGGGATTTAGCTCAGTGGCGCTGAGTCTCCCTTGCAAATGCAAGGTCCTGAGTTCGATCCCTGGTACCAAGGAAAAAAAAAGCTAAGGAGATTAACTAATAGTTTCAAACTTGGCATACTGTAAAAGTATCTACATTAAGGAAATATATATAGGACTCTTAATAGCTGTGGACTTTAAATCAGTATAACCAAAGTTATATATTACATTTTATAGTCTATACACTTCTAGTCACATTTTCTTCATAATCCTTAAAAATTTTTGCAACTTATCCTCCCTACCCTCCTATAGCCCACTCTTCAAAAATATGAGAAACTTTCTATCAGGTAAAATACTGATTTGGTGATTACACCCTCATGTATAATCTGAATTATTTTCTACTATCATTCACCAATTACTTATTGAGTATTACTATGTCAGATACTGCCTCATACAATTCTAGAGATACAAAGCAAACTAAGAGGTGATTAAATTAACAAATATAATTTGCTCATCAGATTGGCAAAGTTTACAGTGATTGGTAATATCAGATGTTGGCAGGATATAGGAAAAAGGACATGTTCATGAAGTGTGAAAGTATAAATTAGCATAGCCTTTTGAAGTGTATATTGGCAGTAACTATCAAAATTTTAACTGCTTATGATTTTTATGAGAAATTCCATTTCATTAACTCTGTCCTACAGAAATATTCATACTGGGCACAAAGATGTACAAGAATGATCACTGAAGTATCATGTTATCGAGAAAATTTGGAAAGGATCTGTCTGTGCCTGTAGTAAGTTTAAAAAGTTTTGCGATATATGTTTTAGAATATTTAGTCATCTTTCAAAATGTAGTAAGTTATAAGTAATGAAATTTTAAAAATCGGAGTTATTATGCAAAAAAATTGTGTTTAATAAAAGACCTACGTAGGCACAGCTCTGCATATAAATGCATTCAAGGGGAATCAGAAAGGGATACAAAACTGCTGGCCATTAATCTCTACCTAGGGTAGAGAAGGTGGGGTGGGGAGGGAAATAGAGGTTTTTCTCTCTGTATTGTTGATGATCGGATTGGAGAGTTTCAGAGTGTGTAGCATTATTTCAAAGTGTTCAGCAAGGGCAGCTTTTTTCATCTGTGAAACCTTGTTCAGCTGTCTTGAAAAAAAAAAATGGATCACTGCCACTAATTTCAATGACTGAATTTTTCTGTTTATGCAGCATTTCTTTTTTTTAAGTTTTCAGTGATACTCTTTCTTTTGTTCCAATCTACTTAACATTCTACGCAGCTCTAAATTTCAAATCCTCAAGGAAGGTAAGGATTTTATTTAAATTCTGGTCAAGACTTTGTATGTCTCTGTCAGCAGTTTGTGTTAAAAGATTCACTGGGCCCATTGTGAAACTCAAATGTGTAACTTAGGGGCTCACCAAGATCTGAGAACTTCAGTTCAACCTCTTTCAAATATTTTGGAGTAAGTTCATTGTTTTTCTTAGTCACAGGAGCAGAACATTCATTCTTTCAATCACAACCCAGTAATTCCTGTCCTGGCATTTTTTGTTTCCTCAACAGAAAGTCCCTTAAATTCGACTTTTTCTTCAACTTTTGCCTCAACTATTTCTTTGGGATCTTCTTTTTCTGCCTTTTCGTTGAGAAGAGATGAGGGGAATGACACAGGGAAGCTGGAGAAGCCCCAGCAGAGGTGGCAGAACCTGAGGCCAGTGGAAATAGCCGCAGGTTGTCACAGGCTGCTGCATGGGTGGAGGCAAAGCCTTCCAAATTCCCTTCCATCTATCTGCCTGGCTCTTGCGAGATAGAAAGGCAACATCAACATTTTAATTTTCTTAAAACTGGATTACTGAAATATAATTTACATACCCATATAAAAAACACACCCATTATTAAGTGAACAATTCCATGAATTTTAAAGTAGAGTTGTTCAATGATCACAATAGTTTGAATTGCTATCACTGCATAAAGTCCCATCAACACCCTTTCCAGTCTGTTCTTTCCACATTCAGCTGCTGGGAATCTCTAACCTGCTTTCTGCCTCATACTATCTACCTTTCTGAATATAAATGTCCCCCCAGTTCTGTGTGTGGAAGGTAACTGGATCATGGGTGGTTATAGCCATCTGAGGACTCACCCACTGATGATGTGCACATGTTCTCATTCTCTTGAGTACCAAGAATTGCAGCATTTTCCACTGTCTTTAAGTTTTAAAAAACCCACAAACTTTCAGTTGTATTTAAAAGGGGATTTTGATCAAGAATTATTAGGGTGATAAGCTTTCTAGAAAGAAGACAGGTGTGGAGTAAGGAAGGATGGACGGTACCATGGTTTTGCTGAGCATATTGGCTGGGCTGATGAGCCTGCATCAGAGAAGTGATTCATCACCTTACTTCCATTGCCTTAAGCAATAAGGACTGGGGACTTCACTGCAGGGAGCAGAACCAAACCCTAAACAAGGAACCTTCCCTATTCTGAGGATTGTGGGACCTAGTAACATTTGCCTGGGAGGAATTAAAAACTTGGAAGACTATTGATTCCCTGTACATTTCACATCTTCTCGTGGTTGTTCTTAAGGTTGCATGGAATACAATGTGCACACATGATCAGTGCTCTTTACTTTCAGTGTCTGTCTTTAATAGAATTTCATATTAGTGCAAAAAATGATTTATCTGGCCTTCCCTACAAGAAACATGCTATTACAGTATCTATGCAAATTCTGGAGTTTATAAATATTAGTAAGATGATACAATTTTAGCTTACAAAGAGTTAAAATACAGCCAGCAAATTATGGTTTGTCATGCTGGCCAAGCCCACTTGTTTACTGTCTGTGGCTGTGTTTGCATTTTAACAGCAGAGATGAGTTGTTCCCCGGATGTAGTGCTTCCCAAAGTGGAAGATATTTACTATGTGGGCACTTTACAGAGAGTCTGCTAAAGCCTAAATGGAAGATACTAACACTGTATAACAAAAATACCCAACTTTATTAAATGCTAATTAGAAAGCTATAAGTAGTTTCAGGAGTTCAGAAGACAGAAAGGTAATTCTTCAACAGGGCTATTTAGAAAAAACTTCTGGAGGATGTGCCAACAGAAAACAGGAGCAAAGAACTGAATATGTAAAACTTCTGGGCCACAAAAAATGACAATATGTATGTTAAGGAAAGAAAAAGCAAGGAAGAGGATAGACCTCACCGATTCATTTCGGTACAAACTCTCACAAGATAACAAAGGTCTTTTCATCTATACCATGTTTCTGACCTGCATGCATATTTTATACATATCATATGCCATATGCTTCTAGGTTATCTCTTAATTATAAGCTGGTAACTTTATTTAAATAGGCTCAGATATAAGAATTTTTGACAAATGAACATTATAAGTAATGGAACTCTCAGAAACTGCTATAATTTAAACTCCATCTTTCCTGCCATTTGGAATTTAATATTTATTCAGGACTAAAAGAATATTCTTTTTTTTCCTAAGACAAAGTCATGCGGCTATGAAACACAGTAATCTGTAAAAATTACTGTACTGCTCATATCATGTACCATGAGGTGAAAAAGCCAGGCTGATCATCAGGCTTCTAGTACTAAAAGACAAGTTATTTTGCTTATGGCAGGATGTGTTACATCAGTAGGTCTAGGTGAGGTATCCCAAAACGCTGAAAATTCAATCTGTATCCAGAAAGAATTTATTGGAGAAAGACAGTTTATTTTTCCTTACATGACTATGTAAAAAATATCTTATGCTCAGTAGTAAGGTCTGTGTCCATAAAACCTTTTGGCCAGATATTCAGATTACTACATTTTCATATTCTACTTTACATATTTAACTGAGGAGAGCTGTGAACTGTAGTTTAAAAAACATACACACACATACACAATATTAACAAGAGAAAATGAGTGTCTTTCTGAAATATAAATAATTTTTGCCTCCACACCCCTCCCTGGCCTCCTCTCCGCCTCTGTGTGTGGGCCGCTGCACAGCTCCCTCTGCCTTGTAGCAGCTCCTCATGGTCCCTGCATGGACTGCAGTGGCCTTGGCAGAGCTGCCCTGCACTGCCTACAGGAGTGGACCACAGGGCACAGGGGCCCAAGATGCAGAATGACATGACGGCACCCCCATCCCTGCAGGTCTTAAACAATTCTTTAACTGTAAGAGAATGAGATTTAACGTGTAAAACTTTAAGAAAAACTTAAATAAGACTTTAAATATGTAAATTAGACAAAAACTAATGAATAAGTGGGGGGAAGGGAAGTAGCAAGGGAAAGAAAAAAATAAAACTAATTTCTGAGGTGAGAAATTAATCCAAATTCATGTAACTGATGTCTTGCTACAAAGATGTGCAGAAAAAAATGACATTTTAAACTCAGAAATAAAATGTTTTACTATTTCAACACAACATTCCTCCAGAATTCTAGTAATATGTACATAATCCTGGAATAAACTTATCACTTCTCTTATTAACAATGTATACATTAAAAAACAAATATATACATATTTTAAAGCAAATCCTCTAGGACCATATTTAAGCAATGACATCTGAGGAAATGGAATTCAGGCACTGTGTAACATTTGGGAAATTTTCTCTTCCTTCTTTGTTACACTGAAGTCTTCATTAGACACTGGTTGCTTCTAATGTTTTCTTACTCATCCAAACAGCTTGATCCAAACCCAGGTTCATTTTCTCCAGTACTACAAAAATCAAACACAAACAAAAAGAAAAATAATTCACATTACTATTCATGAAGAAATACAAACAGTAGTCTATAGTTTCTAAAAGACTTCTACTAAAATGAAAAGCGAATTGTGATTAACCATAATGTAAAGTATTCCCAAGAAGTGGCTTAAAAATCAGTTTATGTTAGAAAATATTAGGGGAAGAGCTGTGTGCTGACTGTAAGCTCAACAAAAAAAGGAAAGGAAAGGAGGAGGGGAGGGAGGAAAGAAGGAAGGAAGGATGGACGGACAGACAGATGGAAGGAGACTAACATCCTGCATCAGGAAGGCACAATTTCTATGGATTTCTGTGATAGCTAGATGATTAATGTGAGCAATATGCTTAGTTCCTGGTGCCACATTTTTAGAGGCTCTGAAAACTTGTAGCTGATTTCACAGTGTGACCACTTAATTCCACAAATGGTCTAGAAATTAAGAACAAAGTAAGTAGAACCGAAAGCACTAAAGAAGTTCAGCAAACAGTTGTTTTGGGCCCGACATGGTAACGGTGAAACATTAATTAGGTTATCAAACAGAAGTAACAGAAACTAGCATTTCTTGATTTGGGTGAATAAACAGGCAGTCATCCAACAATGCATGTGCCCATTTGTTTCCATGAACTTCATGTTATTATTCCTCCCAGAGAAACAGTTAAGGGAAAAGTCTTGCTGACAAATGTGTCTGTGTGTTCAAGTAAAAATGTTAAAAGTCAAGATGTTGACTGATTTTAATGTAATACAATGTAAACTGGCAATTTTAGAAAGAATAAGCCAAGATTTATTTCTAATGCAAATATATGTAAGTTGCAATTTCAGAAACAATTTGTTTAAGTATTTTCATTAAAGGGAATATCAGAGAAAATAAAATTCTTAAGAAAACATTTACTGGAGGTGGTTAATACACATGTTATCCCAGCACTCTGGGAAACTGAGGCAAAAGGATCACAAGTTTGAGTCCATCTTCGACAACGAAGTGACTCAGGGAGACTGTATCTCAAAACAAATATTAAAAAAGGTATGGGGATGTAGCTTAGTGCAAAAGCCCTAGGTTCAATCCCAAGTACTAGGGGCTGGGGGAATCAAACAAAATGATCCTTGGCACTCATGAAACCACATACATTCATTTGGTGTCTACTGTACACCAGGCATTTGTTTAGGTTCTATGGAAGATCTCAAAGAGGCCTCAGGTGAAACACTGAGGACAAATCAGTATACACAGATTTATATATACGAGCTCTCAAGGGTTGGACAAGTGGGTGGGCAACTCACTCCAAGCAAAGAGCAAAGGTGCACTGGTGGCAGGGGAAGTGACAGGCATCAGGCATGAGGGACTGCTGTCAGGGGATGACAGATCATAATCGCGACGGAGAAGGCGCTCTTTGAAGGCTGTTGGGCAAAAGGGTGAAAACGAAGACAAAAGCCAAACTGAAGGATCCATACTGACATGCTATTAGTGTAAATGTCCTGGATGCACTTTAGAAGTAAAAACTGCATGTTTGCATATGTATTTGTGTATGAGAGAAAAATGCTGCCACTGATCAGATGGTCTCTCATGTACTTCTCAAATACCTCAAAATGGCCCTGCCTATGGAAAAATTAATAATACTATGTAGCAGAGCCAGTCCCAAAACATTCAAATCCCTACACATTTGAAGTGTTTTTATAAAAAGGTTTAACACACAGGGCCAAAAGAATGATTAGTATAAAACTGACCATACTTTGGTAAAGCAAACTTTACCAAAGAATATATTCAGGGATGAGAAACCCTTTTTTAGAGAAGAAAAAAAGCAAATATGCATGAATGAAAAACAGGCATTTTAGCTGAAAATAATCAAGCATTCCATTGACTGCTATTACAATAATTAACTAATCGGAGGACCTCAACATTTGGCATGTGTTAAGTGCCTGCACTGTCTGGGTTTTAATGAGCAGTTGTGCAAATGCGTGAACAAATAACACAGCAGTGCTGACTGCAGTGCAACAAGATGACAACCTCTGTGGGTCAATGAAATTTAAGACTGGTTTTGGCCAATGTGCAAGATAAATGATATCTCGTATTTATTACATTTATTTCAGATTATTTCCAGTGACTCCTTTATATATCATATTTTCTTGGCTATTTGAGCAGCTCCTTTTTTTCTTTTGAGATCAGATGAAAGATTAAGGAAAGAAAAGATAAAAAGATCATTTGTTAAACTTACAAGTAAATTTTTAAAAACTCACTATTCATAACAAAATCTATTATGTCTAATGAGTCAAAGTTTAGTTATGGAATCAAGAGAAACATCAGCGGTGACTAGTATCTATTCCCAGAAACCTGGGTTTAAGGTTTGAATCTGGGCTCTGCCTCAGATTAGCCTCATTTTTCTCAGCTATAAAAACAGGCCTTGTATAAACCTACTTTAAAAGTATGTGAATTAAATAAGGCGATACAGAGAATGTACTTTACATAATTCCTGGTACACACAAATATTCAATAGGTTGCAGTCATTTTTGCTATTTTCTTAGTTATTATTGGTGCTACTACTGTCATTCCTCCCAAAATAATCCAAACAAATTAGGAAGTGAAATAAAATGATACAAAATAGTTTTGAATGACATAATGGTGATGCATTATTTGTTTAAGCCACTAGTAGGGGAATCATTTGGCTCTTTGGAAAATTACATTTTAAAAAACTGGTTTTAGGGAAGGATTTTTATATGGCTACAGAATTCAATGTTTTTTATTCTGTTCAATGAACTATTTTACACTGCCATTCTTCATTCCTAATGATTAAATGAGGCTCATATAATGGAAACCCAGAAATGACAGTTTCTCCTCTTCTTTTCAGATCATTTTGCATTTAGCAGGAAGGGTGGAACATGATTTTCCAAGCAGGTATTAGTTGTTATACAGAGGCACACATTCAAAGAGACAAGATAAGGAGAACCAGAGAGAGTCTGTATATTAGGTGTGTGAGTAACAACTTTGGCTTAGCACAGGCTATTTAACAATATTTAGGGTTTCATGGCTTTCAATCTTATGTGAAATACAAGTAAGGTACTCAGTGGAATTAGGTTTTAGTTTCAAAACAGAGAAGTTTCAAAAAACAAACAGAGAACATGAAATACACGTGAGTCACCAAAAGGGAAAAAACAGAAAGCTAATATTGTAAAAATAAAACACAAACAGAAAGATCTATACTTTCGCTTAACACATGAATATTAGTAATGCTTTAAATCTGTAATGGTTTTGTTTTGCATTTACACAGTCATGTATTTGCATCACACTTGAAGAGTAAATGCCACTTAATATTTGCAGGAGGAGGTAATAAGTTCATGAAATGGGGTTGTATAGACATTTTTATTATAAAGGCCAATTATGTGTTTGTTAAAAGAGGGTATACATTCTAAGTAGAAAATGACAGTATATTTTCTCTTTAGCTGTTTGCTTACCATCAGGAACCAAAATAATACTACACATTGAGACATAAGGATTTTAAATTAAAAAAAATTATTTTTTGGTAACAGGGATTGAACTCAGGATCTTGTGCTTGTGAGGCAGGAGGCAGAACCACTGAGCTAAATCCCTGGCCTCTTAAATAAAATTTTTGAAGAAAGAAGAAAAGAAAAATCCTTGTGTAGGATAATTTCCCTTTTCCACTCTGAGTATTAGCTGATATATGGCCTTTAAAAAGAGTCAGTTTCATTAATGTATCATGCAAAACCAAACATCAAATGAGGTTCACAAATAAAATGATATCACGATGTATTTAAGAGTAAAAAAACTAGGGTCAGGAAGTATAACTAACATTTACTATTAATTACATTTGTCATTATTGAAAACACTTAAAAACAAAATGAAATTCCCCTGACTCATGAAATAGTAACTTTCAAAAATCTGAAACACAATACAAGAGTTATTATCAGTAAAAGTACCTATTTTGAAAGGTCAACATTATTCTGAACATACACATAAACCTAATACAAATGTAGACAGATTTGTATACATAGTTTTCACATTTATTACAGAACACAACCTCTTCAGGGAGAAACTCAAGCAGAATAAACCACATCATTTTCTTATTTTCTTCATTATTTTTGTTTTGTTTTGAATACCCAAACCCCCATATAAATAGCCGAATTCCCTTATCCTAAGGTTATGTGGTCTTTAAGGATACGTGACTAATGTTTATGTGCCCGTCTCCCTGGACCTATACCTTTCCTCCTGGAATATCAAAGGTCTTAATTAAGGATTCTTGTAAATGGTCAGCAATGATTGTTTCTAGTATCTTGAATTGGAAATTAGGTAAGCTTTCTGAATTCAATGTCCTTACTGTTTTATCATCGTTCTGTAGAAAAAATATATCTGATCTAATCTACAGTGATTCAATTAATTAGATTTAATATATAGCATGATTAAAACCACAACTCATTCTCCACACTTAAAATCAATCAGTGAAAAGAGATACAGATGGGAAATAACAGAAACAGAAGGGAGACACATTGCAGTATGTTTTACAGTGTAGGAAACACAAACTATGAGACCTTTACATCTCCTAAGCAGATAAGACTAGAAAACCCCTTAAATATCATTTTTTAAAGAGAAAAGAATTCTCATGATGCAATTTCAAAGACAATGACCCAAATAAAAGTGGTTTTTGGTGGAAAATGTATACCACTAATAGGCAGGTGTTGCTAGGCAACTAATATTGTAGTGTTTAATCTCCACCCTTTGTAAGGAACTGCATGATGGAAGAAAACAGCCTTTTTAGTATTTCAGAGATACTATAGCTGCATCTGACAATTCTTATTCTTCTCTTAGAATATAAATTTTATGCTGAAATATCTATAACTTTTGTTAACATGCATCAATCTACCCCATTTTTAGTAACTTGGATCTATAATTCATAATGACTAATTAGAATGCACTAAAATACATTCCAGTTAGTCAATATTGCATCATTGTAATGAACGTTATGACTGATAAAAATCAGTTGTTGGTCAACAGAATTTGAGTCTGCATGTATTTTATTAGCATTAATTCTTAGAACATATATATGTGTATATATATATATATATACAGAGAGAGAGAGAGAGAGAAACAAAGTATAAATAAATTAAAAATCAAAATCAAAGACAGATAACAGGAAACATGCAGGTAGAACTTTTGAAAAGGGAGAAAAGGGGAGAGAAAGAGGACGTAAAAAGAATTAAGATGTGTTATGTCTATCACCTCAAAGATGTGGAAACTGGGACCCACAGATACTGGGCAAACCAGTACTACTATTACTATTGCTATTACTATTATCCCTCAAATAGTGACATAGTCTCCTTTTAAATCAGGCTCTTTCTAGCCTCTATTTTCCCCCCAGTACTGGGAACTAAACCCAGCGCCTTTCCACCAAGCTACATCCCCAGGCATTTTTATTTTCTATTTTGAGACAGGCTCTCTCTAACTTGCTAAACTGCCCAAGCTTGCAAATTCTCCTGTCTCAGCTTTCCAGAGTGCTAGGACTATAGGCATGCACCACTAAGCCCAGCTACTCTCAGTCTTTAATACAAAGAATTAAGAAAATTACTTATATACTTAGACCTGCTAACAAAATAAGTATTTATGTAAATTAACAACAGAATTTCAAAACTAGACCATTAAAATAAAGCATGCCACTGGCTCATTTAACACAATTTAAAGGTTCAAACTAATTTCCAAAGAGCCACCCTTAATTCCTTTCCTCTGCGTACACAGCCCTCTCCTCCCATCCAGAGGCAGAATGCTGCTTCTCCCTGTGCCTGTGGGGAGTCCTGATGAACTATGCTAAGAGGCCTGCCACTTCTGCACTCATAGTCTTGAGGAAGCAGTCACTATGCTGTGGAGCAGGCAACTCAGGTCAGACTGCTCAAAGGGGAGAGAAGTGGGGCTGCCCACGCGGAGGGGCACCATGTTGGCGACGTGTGGTGAATCCCTGCTGGACCTTCCAGAAAAACTGCCACCAGATGAACACAGCCGAGTGTCTGAGCCCCGCTGAGGTCACTAGAAACAACAAGAAGCACTGCACAGCTGGGCTTGAGCAGTATTCCTAGCTGAAGAATCTTAAGAAACAATGAAGTATTATAGTTTCTTAGGCTCTTGAGTTTGAGTTGGTTACACAGCCACTGATAACTGAAGTGAGGTTTCAGGCAACAACATGAATTTCCTGTGTAAAATTTTAGCTATTATTTATTGTAACTGACCAGGAAATAAAGGAGAAAAACTAGGATTTATAAGTACGGAATAATGAAAAGCAAAAAGAAGAAAAATGTCTACTATTGAAGTTGGAGACAGAGCAAGATAAAACAGAAATAACTGTGAAGGGCAAGTCCCCTGACACAGAAATACAAAGAAAAGAAGTTTCTGACCTCGAGTACACTGTAACTAGTTGAACTTAAAAAAGATAGTGTATACACTGAAAGATGGTAATTAACTGGATCATGGTGGGGAGGCGGATTTCACTGACATAAAACATAGTGGTGAGCAAGATAACAGGAATTAAGAGAATCTAAGAGAACTTTCTCTCCCTTCCCTCCCCTCCCCTTTTCTCTCTTTTCTTTTTTTTCTTTGCTCTTTCTTTCTTTTAGTGCTACTAGAGATTAAACTCAGGGCCTTCACAATGAGCTACATCCCCAGCCCTTTTTAATTTTTTTTGAGATAGTGTCTCACTAAGTCGCTACATTGTCCTGTCTGTGGGAGGAATTGGAATTCTCCTTCCTCAACCTCCCAGAGTGCTGTGATTACAAATGTGAATCATCATACATGGCTCAAGAGAACTGATTTCAAAAATACTAAATGTGAGTCAAAAGGTTTGGGTTCACATTGTATGCTCCCCCGTATTCGTCACATGATGCTGAGTAATTATACCTTTCGGGGACCCCCCCCCAATGTAAAATAGTATGGTATACAATATATAGACCTAGATCTACCATTAGTTAACAAAACTGATTGACTCGAACAAGTCAAATGCCTACTGAGTCACAGTTTACATTTGATGAATGGTTGGGATTTACGGCCCATGAAGGAGATGACCCAAGAAGCAGAGAGGCAACACTTGTAATAAAAATGTAATTCAGATGGTGTTCAGGGAGAATAAACTTTGCTTTTTTCAATCCAGAAAGGCTTGAAAATAAGGTATTAGAGGAAGGAACTTCTTAATGTTCATATTTTTTAAAACATATAAATCATTATACTACTATGTGACAAAAATTCTAGCAATCAAGAAGTTTGCATTTTAGGAGTTAAAAGAAAACCCAAATATCTATAACAGAAACTAAGTATTAGTGGAATTCTTATTAACATGTTCCTGCAAGCCTGAATCACCTGTGATACGTGGATGTGATACATGGACTGTCCCACTGGGCGGCTTGTAACACTGGGTGTACAAGTGGATCTAATCACTTTAATTGGTCTTTTTACTAATAAAATTAACCAAAAGTCTATAAATGGACTGAATTTGGTTAGTTGCTTGAATACGAATCATTACTATCCATAGTATTAATGTCCAATTACTGTCCAATAGTATTAATACTATTCATACCAATTAAAATTTATAATAAACAAATTTATTTCATTAAATTAAATTTATTTGTATTTGTGAAATTCCTTGAAACATTTTATACATAAAGGCAGCTGATTTGTGCAGAGTGCGTAAAATGTCATAACATGTTTGGCTGTTTTCGCGGCCACAACCCATTTTCTTAGATAGTCATGCATGTATGACCAGTGGTTCATACAGCAGGATGACTGAATTCGAATCTTACCCCGCCACCCACAGTGAGACATATAAATTACAGCCCTGTTGTGAACATGTTAAAGGTACACAGTCCTAAGAAGAGTCATAGAAAGATGAATCTTAGTGGTTTTAAGAATAGCATTCTGGGTTTCTGCATGCATAAGTCTATAGAAAGTGTATTATTAAAACAATGGGCATTCTGGGCTAAAAACACGGCAGCAGTAAAGTGATCACTGAGATCAAAGTGAATACAATATGCAGAGAAAGAGATCATTAGTGAGCAGTTTGGAAAATGCCTTAGAACACGGCATGCTAGAAGTCCTTGTTTGCCAGAGACTGGATGTCACTATTAGGTCATGGGCAAACACTAAACATATTTAGATTTTCAAAAAGGTAAATCTTCACTTTGTTAAAATACACTTCATCACAATATTTAGAATAAAGAATACTCAGAATCAGACTTAAACAGAGGGAAGGAGTTATAAAGAACTTTAATTATCCAAGGCATCACTGAGTCAAGAAAAATTAATCAGAAATTGATAGAAAGGGATAAAGAAATGATAGTAAGGTATAAAGGATTAAAGGAACTGACAAGGCTTGGTGGCTAAGGGACAGTCATAACGGACAGGCTTTGAGCAATGTAGTGAATGTATGAATTCAGGAAGAAGTTCACAAGGAAGGCAGCCCAATTCCTCCGCTTGTTTACCATTTTCATAATTATCCTTATTATGAAATTGTTAAATAAAACATTTTGAGGATTGTCCTCATAGGCAGGTGTGAAAAGGTCTTCCCTTATATAATGATAGGTATTTCTAACAGTAAGTATGGATAGACTTTTTAGTGTGTGGTATGGATTTGTTTTCCTTAGTTTCTAAAGCTCCTTTTCTACTACACTTCAGCATTTAACAAAACTCAGTAAGAATTTAAGTCACTTGCCAAGGCCTCTCCTAAGCCTGAAATCATTCCCAAGAAAGAGTCATAATCACGATTCACTACAAGGGACAAAAATGCCTAGGTGAGTCCTCCACAACTTAGTCACGGTTAAGAAAAGTTGGTGTTTTATAGCTGATAGCGCAGGGGACTTCACTTCAGCAAGCTGGTAAGAGGTGGAACGTGTGGCTCTCTGAAGTCTCTAGAGTGGTACAAGGAGACAGCAACACAAACACACTGCCCTCAGAGCACTTACCTGGGCAAACTTGTGAATCTGTTCTACCACTGCAGCAAACAGAGCATTGACGCTTTCATCAATCAGACTCTGCATGTAATGCACTGCCTCTTCATCCGACAAGTCCAGCCGAAATTTATCCTGAACCTACAAGGTAAGTGTCTGTTAGTTTCTTCTAATGAAGAAAAACAGGGACATATTTTGAAGAGACAGAACCAAATTGATACAGATATTAAAATGAGTTATTTCTATGTCAAACAAATAATTTATAAGGTATAAAAGGAATTTTAAATGCCATTCTTTTCAGACAAAGTTTACTGCTTTCAAAAACAGAGAAAATTCAGGGTCGGGGATTTAGCTTAGTGGCACCATGCCTGCCTCACAAGCACAAGGTCCTGAGTTCGATCGCTGGTACCCCCCCCAAAAAAACCCAAAATTCTTGCTGGGATTGGTGGTACACTCGGCAGGTTGAGGCAGGAGGATCACTGTAAGTTTGAGGCCAGCCTGGGCTACAGAGTGAGTTTAAGTCCAGTCTAAACTACACAGTGAGACCCTGTCTCAAAAAGCCAAAACCAAAACACAGAGAAAATTCTTTTAACCCAAAGACAATGCTTTAAATTTTCTAGAGTTCAGATCTAGAAATACTATGTGATTCACACTGTAACATATTTACTAATAATTCCCTTCACTTTATCCTTGTTGTTTACTGTGAAATGGATGTAACAAGATGAGATTATGTTAACATTTTTCCCCACCTTCTCTGCCATAGTTCACAGGAACTATGTCAATCAGTGGCAAAAAAACAAAAACTAAAGTAGATCTTCTAAAATGTCTCCTTTACTTTAACAGTGCCCTAGATTCCTGCAAAGGAAAGCTCAATGGGTGTAATTTCCAGAGATAGGGGAATTTTTCTTTTAGTTCACATTTATAGTTGGTTTGCATTAGCATCAAATACAAAAAACAGCATGTGTATGTATCTGTGTATTTGAATGGTGGTGTAAAAAATAAAAGCCAGTGTTACTACTTTGTGCAAAACATGTATACCTGAAAGCACTATCTATGCAACATTTCATTCAACTCCAGAAGTAGGTCCTGACTCCATCTGCAAGATGGAGAAATTGAGGCAGAGAATTTATGAAACCATTCAAGGGACACTTCACTGATGCTATAGGGCACGTGCTTCCAGACAACATTATGCATAGCCACTATATTTCACTCCTTTTCTTGTATGTAGTTGTGACATCTGGATCATCTCAGGTTGTTTTTCCACTGACTGCTCTTTTTATCTATTGACTTTGTGTCACACTAGTCTTTTTCTTCACAAATCTAGTGATTTTTTTATTATATGCCAGATGCTTTGAATTGTACTTTATAGACAATGTAAATTCATTCTAGTAGGCAATTAAACTGGCTGAAATAAAATTCCAACACTAAATAGTGCTGAATATTCTGCTCAGTTTGTTAAGTTTCTGGCTGTGGCTTCTCCATTGGATGAGAACTTGAGTTTTGTATAATAACTTCACATTCAGTCAGATTTGGGAAAATTTAATATGGAGATTGGGGGGAAGATATGGGTTCACTTTTTCTGTGACTTTCATTTTCTCAAAATTTCTTTCTTAATTTCCTCACTACTGTATTTCTCTTAAGATGTATAAGCAAAAACTTCTATAATTTAAGTGAAACAATTTTAGAGCAGCTGTAAATACTAACAAACACACTTTCTGCTCACTGTCTTTTAAGCAAACAATAGCAAGTCCCTTGAGTATTTAAATCCCACTTTTAGATGCTATTTTTACACTTAACATCATTTAATTACAGAGAATACTTAGTCATTATAGCCTGGCGCCTCACACCTGAAAGAAGGTTTAATAAAATATGTGCTTGGTGGCATAACTTTTAAAGGAAACCATGCACAGTTCACAGCAGAGAGATCTACTGTACCCAAAGGACAGTTGCAATGGCTACTTGTAACAATTAGTGAGCATTTCTCAAGTTTACTAGTTGTTTCTATGTTAATGAATGAGTTGTTAAGATCCAACTGAAAGGTCATATCTATTACCAAGCAAAAATCAATCATCTGATATTTCTACTTTAAAAGCAGAAATCTGCCTTATCAAATTTTCTTCCAATCAACTTCATGGACCTCAATTTGGATACACTTTACAAACTGGAAATTCAGTATCTTATTTTTATTTTAAAAATGTATAAATATTTGATGGTTACCAAATAGAAATAAGTGAGTGTTTTTTTCTAATTTGAAGGTTAATTTAAAACTATAATCTGTCCCATGATATTCTGAAAGACAATCATCATTAAAAGACAAGAGCCCTGGCTATCAAATTTGCTCTTCTGACATATCTTTGGTGACTGATACTATTCTTTTTAGATTTCACACTGCTGAAAGTTGAGATAATTTCACACTCCAAGGAGCCATAAACAGAAATTATCTAAATATAAAGATGATAACACACCTCACACCAAACTCTGGGAGAGGTTAGGGGTAGCTAACAGCTAAGCAACGATCTTCTGTTTTCATTTGGTTTGTACACCTAATGGGGCTGTGATGCAGCAAATGAGGTAATCTATTTATTTCCAAGGAGCAATTTACTAAGTATGAATTGGAGTAAAATAAAACACAGAGTTTTCTCTACACACACACACCCTTAACATCCTAATTTGCATGTCATATTAAATTTTGTCTTTTAATAACATTTCAAACCTAATTCTTAGGTATTGTATGCTGTTCCCCAAACAAAATCCTACAACACATTTTTACATAATTATATTGTCTCATAAGAAACACTGATTTCATTTATACCTAATCTGTACTCTTTGAGAGCTAAAACTACATTTAAAAAACTAATTTAACATTCATTAATAACAGAAGGCCTGTTTAAAATAATTTAGTTTAGCATCTCTGAAATAGTAGCTCTCTTTAAAATAAGAAGAGCAGATGTTCACAATTAAACTGTTTTTATTAAAAAAATTGGAATTAGAAAAAATGCTTTTTCTGTCTTAATTTAAACACAAAAGTAGTTACAACAATGGAACAAATCCCATTTATCAGAGTAAAGGGAAATGTTTTAATCTAAATATTACTTTCATTTATTTATTACTTGAGCTGCATTAGAATAAAATAATCCCTTGAATAAAAACCAGAATTTAGAATACTGATTTTAAAAAACTGAACTCATATCTAACTACTGCTAAAAGAATCAATACTGAAAACTGTTTGAAATAAGACACACGATTATATAAAGGGAAAATAAAACGTATGCATTGCTAAAATTCCATGAGAGTGGACAGGTTTGTATATTTACAAATCTTATAGGCAACAAAGGTAATGTATAGGTTACTTAAAATAGGTCTTTAGCTAACTTGTAGCTGCCAGTGATATAATTTCGTTGTTTTAAAGTGTAGTAAGAGATCAATTTAGAGGAACAGATCCATTTAATTCTCTACACAAAATAGTATTACCTTAAATTACTTTGAACAAACTTGTTACTGCAGTCTAATAGGTTTTTTCTTAATCACTAAATTAAAGGAAAGCATAGATGAAAAAGCACTGCTGTGTGGTTAGATGTATAAAAAAAGCCAAGCAGATTTGAAACTCCTTGAAGACCAGGCTTCTTTCAATGCAGCGTCCCAAGTAGCAAGTTAATGATTTGCTACAGAATATTTGTTCTTATTATGTCAACATTTTCAAATTTTCTTCTAAGACTAGTACAATCTACAGAGGTTTACCAAGAAGTCTTACTTCTCTACCATAAACTTATAAAATATCTCACCTGAATTTTCTCAAAAAGACCTCAGACTTCAGTGAGGATCCTGACCATTTCATCTCGACTTGCCCAAATCACTGACAACTTAAACTTTAACCCCCACACCCCAACCATTATCTACTATTTACTGTTTTTCTTATTAGAACATAAGTTCCTTTAAGGCAGGGAAATTTTGTTCTACTTATTTTTATAATACAAACACTCAGACTGTACTTGAACTACAGTAAACAGTCAAAACGTACTGCTGAGTGAATATAAAAAATATTCAGGGACAGATATGCTCAAACCATAGAAGAATGATTGCCCTTAGAATATAATATGGATGAATGCAATTTAATACTAATCGTAGCACTTTCATTCAATAATAGGATTTAAAGTAAACTGGGTAGGTTGTTAACATTTGCTAAAAATGGGTGGTGAGCAATGGATATTTTATTCATGAAGTCTGTATTTTACACAATTTAACTATTTTATACAAATACTTGTTAATATTTATAAGAATCATAATATATTTATATAATAAGTTAATGTATTTGCTCATTATAAGTTATTCCATACACTATGTTTTAGTTATTCTAGCATCATGACACTGCTTTTATAAATATGTATTGTTCTTGTTAGATTGCCTAGAGACTTTTGCTGTGAATGATTTTTGAGTATGCTTCTTTTAAAATCAAGGACTGTATAGCACACTAACCTAGAATTACAAGATATTTAATGTTTGTGATTGAAATTTAAATTATTTAAAACATTTTGACCCTTCCAGAGGACAAAAATATTTCCCCTATCACAAATTTCATGGCTGAGGCATCCAAACAAAAAATATTAAGATGAGAAAAGTATATGAATTGATTTATAATATGTAATACAATGCTAGAGCCTTCAAAGACCCAAAGAAACAGGGAAAATTATGTATTTTATCCTAAATCTTACAAAAAACTGGATAGTTGTAGACAAACATGACTGGAAAAACATAGGCTACAATCTAATGGCAAGAAACTAAAGGAAACTTAGCAAGGCCTGTTGGTTTATATTTTTCTTGGCATCTCTGTATGAATTCATTTACCCTGGGTGTGGTATAAGACGCCTCTGAAATGAGGGCCTAAGACCTACTTCAGATGAAAGTCAGAGAACTTTTATGGCCCACTTCAGGCCAGAACATTGGGAGGTCAGAGAGACCTTCCTGCTTCAGCTGATTTCTTAAATTTCAAAATAACATACAAGAGGTTATGAAAAAATGCAGTGAATGTTTACTTTTTAAAAAACTTATTATAGTAAAAAGGCACACTGCGAACAATGATGGGATGTGTTCAAAACAAAGGGGAGTTTTTTGAGGTGGACTAATGGTGTTATATCTTTTACTGTAATCACTTTATTTAAACATTTGCTCTACTTTCTGACCATGCCAACTGTTTATGGCAATTTCTGCCAAAAGACAGCATTAGAGAGTGTTTGCAGCCACCTTACTCACTAGGTGTGGCACCATGGACGTCTGGCTTTTCTCCAAAGTCAAAATGATCATGAGAAACGTTGTGAATCGATTCAGGCCACAGAGGCAGCTATGAAGAGTACAACTAAGGATGCTCATGAAACAGGGCTTCCACAACTGCTTCAGAAAGCAGCAGGAATGTAGGGATAAGTAAACGAGCAGGAATATTGTGTGTAAATGAGCAGGAATATTCTGAGGGCAACTAATGGCAAAGTATCTTTTCTGTAATAATTTTTAAAAAATGTAAGCATTCACCATGTATTTTGATCACACTTTGTATTTTAAGACTGAATCTCACTGCATTTCATACTTTTGGACAGTCATGCTTGCTAACAAATCTGATTAACAAAAACACCATGGATAAGTAACTTGTTTCTGAAAAATTAAAAAGAAAATAATACATTGAGTTAAACAGAAAGGAAATTATCATTGCATTTTGTTTTGATCACTCAATTTGAAGAGTCTATACTTGTTAGAGAGCTTCAGTCTCAAACACACTGTTTATTCGTGAGACCAAGTAAAACTTTCCAATTAGTAACCTTCTGAAACGATGTCAGAAATCATTATTTTATCAAGGTATAAAAAATCTACTTGAATAAAATATCCATGTGAATCATAAAGGTCAGCTAATTCCAGCATAACTTCCCAATACTCTTCTGACTTTAATGTCATCTTTATGTTACAATTGCTTACTTCACATGCTTGATAAAATATCAGAAAGTACAGAAATCTTTAATGAAATATCCTTTTAAGGAAAAATATGGTAAAATATCCTTTTAAAAAATGTTTATTGAAACTAGAATAAACAACTAGGGGTTACTAGTATAAAAATGATTAATGAATATGCTTTTGTTTTTGCTTTTCTTCACAAAGTAAATTGCCTCTTGTTTTAAAAGCCAATACTATAAAGATAGCTGGTAACAAAAGAAAATTATCAGAACTTTCTAAAATAGAAAGAGATGAAACAAAAGATCTAATAAAACAAGAACAAAATAGCTTAACTAGACAAAGAAACTGTCTGACTCAGTTTGACAAATACTGTTAGAACTTTCATAAATGACTTCTGAACATTTTTCAGTCAGGGAAGAGTGAACATATGACAGAGAAGATAAATGGGTTTACAAAAAACCAGAAAACAGACTCTGAATACAGCAGATGCAAACCAAAAAAGCAACCACATTTGAAATCTGGTGTAGTCATTGATTATAGCTAAGGAAAATTTCATCAACCAACTTTATTTCTTGACGGATGAGCATTAGTCAATAAAAAATAAATAAAATGACAAAAAATAGGATATGCCAAAAACTAGTCTGATAAGTGGTCTATTTCCTTCCTCCTGGAGGAAAAAGAAATTTTATTGAATAATGGTGGTGGATAAAAGAATAAATGGAAAAAGTCAATATGTTATTTGCTTTAAAAAAAAGAATTCTAAGGAATCTTAATAGTGTAATTTTCCTAAGTGGTTAAATAACAAAATATTTAAAATTTCTCTCAATGGTCGCTAGAGATGTATAAACTCAGAAAAAAGATTAGTCTTGTTCATGTTTAATAATAGAGGTATCTAACAATGTTCAAAGTCAGTCATATTAAAAATTAGGGCTTTTTAGTGCCACTTAATATATTCAAACATCAGAGCAACTCCATCTCAGAGACTATTACTGCCCTTCAGTGATTTCACACTTCTGCAAGTTAAAAAAACCATACTATCTTTCTTTGAAGTTCAGTATCAACAATCAAATTGGTGTTTAGCACCATCTTGTATTACCTTTGGGTAAGCAAAATGTTTTACATATCCTTTCCCTGTAAATGAGTAAGAGAATCTGAAATTAATTCAGGTAAAACCTTCAACTCCACTGCCTTTCTTCCTATCTCTTGATAGAATGAAAGGTTAAGGTAGCTGTGAATAGCTGCTCATCTACACACTGGCTTTCCTTTGCTGCTCTCTTTTCAGGCTGAGTTTAGAAGCAAGTCTCTACACTTCAGACTCAGTAAGAAGCCCCCACAAGAAAGGGCATGGAGGGGACAAATGGAGTGACTATTTTCCCCTCTATGATATTACAAACTTAGTATGTTCACCTGGGAGTGCTAGAAACCAGGTATTATTTGCAATTAAAGAAAGACTTACACTTTTAAGGACAAAGAATGATTTTAGTAGTGACCATTTCTCTAGATATGGTGGTTGTTTCATATGACTATGGCTACAGACAGTGAAAGGGACTGAAAAGAAGTGCTTACAGAGGACTTAAGAGGCTGCTGCATGAAATGTGAAAAAAATTACACAAAGGCTGTCTTTCTTAGTTTATGTTACTTAATAATCTATGAGCTAGGATACGAGGGGAAATGGTTGTTAAAATCCTAATATGTTTTACATAGGAAAAGCAGACTACGATATCGAAGGATGTACAAAACTTACCTTTTTTACAGTTTTATCTGGTTCAAGAGCAATATCTGGAATGTTCGCATCAACCATCAAGGAAAACAAGTTCAAAATCAGATTTGAATATCTAAAGAAGAGCAAGAAAAATATAGCAATGAGTTAGAATTAAGATTTCTTTCCACTATCAAGAACACTTCTATCCAGGCGTGGTAGCACACATCTGTAATAAAGCACTAGGGATTGCCTCACAAGTTCAAGGCCAGCCGGGGCTATACAGTGAACTACATAGTGAGACATTTTCTCAAAACAACCCAACCCCACAATTCTACAAGTAGTGATACCCAGATTTTTACAATGAATACTACTACTTCAACAGAAAACAGTGTGAAACTATTCATTAGGTTTTATCAATGAAACCCTTGAAAAGATATATTATTCTGAGTCTTTTATATAACACTATATCTAGATCCCTTACTACGGACACACTTTTGGAGTAAACATTTAAAAATGACATTCTTGGATCAGAGAACAATTCGGTTTCTCTTTAATCAGCATCTTGTAACAATGAAGATCCATCTTTGTCAGATAATGACAAACAGGTACTTTCCTTGACTACTTGAGTATATCGTAATTCAGTGAATGAAAGGGAGATGGCACACTGCATGGGTCACTCATGAGCATACTCCTGGGATACTATTCATGGTTTTAGGAGTTACAGTAACTGGTCTGGATAACAGGGATCCCAAATAAAGGAAAAACTTCAGAACAGTACCCTATTATAATTAAAATTGGCCAAGATAAGGTTGGGTATCTTTGCTGGCCTCTAACAGGAAATAGCACTTTATCTTCACTAATCCTCAAAGTCTTCTTCTCCCTCAAACAAGGAGAAAGAATATTCTTATTCCAAATGCACACTACACTTGCAGAGGTGGAGGTGGAGCCACATGGGGAAACAGGTAAATGAGCTCACCCCGGGCCTACAACACCTCATTCTCCCTTGGACTTATGCTCTGGGTGGTCTTTTCTCGGGACAGTTATGATAAATATTTGAGGTTTTACTTTGGGAATGGATATGCGGTCAAGAAGCTTTGGTTTTAGACAGTGGCTTTTTTTTGACAGTGACTTTTTAAGCCAACTTCAGAAAAGGTATCAATACAAGTGCCTTGCACTGTCTTCTCCAGGGGACACAGGTATATATTTAAGTGATGCATTATCTTTTACTCTAGCCATTTCCTAGCCATAATTTTTAAAATGTACAAATTACTTAAAAGCTATTTAATACTGAACTATAATGATATTGAAATTTGTATACAAAACTGACTTTATATGAATTTCAAATGACCTATTTTATTATCATTTTTGAATTTTATCCTGCCCACAATAGGGACTATAATGACAATCTCTACCTTGAAGTATTGTAGTAATCAAATTGGCCCTAATCCATTCATACTCTTAAAGAAATAGTTACGATCATAGCTAAATACCTTTAACCTATCTTTAAGCTACTGATTTCCTTGTGGCACTTGGTAAATGTATACCACAGATGGTCCACTTCTACTCATACAATTTTATTCATTCAACAAACAAATATTTACCGAGTGCTCAATACATACATTGATCTCGGCACTACAGATACAGCAGTGAAGCAAACAAACAAGGTCTCTATATTCATGAAGTTTACACTGTGTGTGAAGGTGGGAACTCATCCAACAAACTGATTAAGAATACAATTGTATGTCTGGCTGACAGAAAGATTTTAAGGAGAACACAGAAACAAACAACCCAAAACACAAAACCAGGAAAATGAGTCAGAGGGGTGGGGAGACAAGAGGCCATGCTAAGAAGTATAGTGTTATTCCGAATGCACTGAGAAGCAACTGAGTTTGAAGAGTCCAGGAACAAACTCTGACAGGCATTTAAAAAGTCTCACACTGGCTATTTTGTGGGCAATACAAATGGAAGTAAGGAAACCGTAAAACAGACTTCCAGGCAGAAAAGAATTAATAACACAGAGGTTAGCCAACTACATTTTGAGGATATATTAGTAGATATTTGCAGGCTGTTTCAGTGGAGATGGGTGAGATGACAAGATTGAATGTCACCAAAGATACAGCCTAAGTAACTGACGCTATGGTTATTCAGTAAAATAAAAAAGGCTGAATTGAGGAAGAGTGGGATTTTAGGGAAGGAATCAAGAATTCCATTTTAGACATACTGAGTTTGACATGCTCACTAGACTTAGTAGATATGTCAATTAGGCCATTAGATATCCTCAGAGGGGATATCAGGGCTGGTTGTATTACTTTGGACCTATTAGCATTTGAATCATTCTTAAAGTGACAGTACTGGATAGCCATAGAAAGGAAAGACTTTAAGATCCAGCATCAAGCCCTACGTAAGGATAATGAAACTTCTAGACAGTTCTGTATGTAGAAGTTAAAGTAAAAAAGGGAAGAAATCAGCAAAACAGGAGGAGTGGCCAATGAGACAAAAAGAGAACAGAGAAATGGTTTACATTAAGTCTAGCAAACATTTTCAGAAGTAAGAAGGTGGTCAGAGTATGTCAAAAGCTGTTAGGAAGATGAGTGGAAACTGGATTTGGTGTAGCTTATTTATTTTGATAAAGCAAGATAACTAAAAAAGAGGCATGGAAGCCTTATGAAGAAGGCTAGGTAAAAAAAAAGTCATTGCAAATGTGCTGTGAAGGAACGTGAAGGATCAAGGCAACAGTACAATGTTTAGCAACATCCCCGGCCTCTTCCACTGGATGCCAACAGCACTGACCCCGTAGGACAACCAAAAATGTATCCAGATGCTTATGAGATGTGCCCTTGAGGGAAGAGAGAGTTTAAAAAAACCTCAAGTTGAAAGCCACTGATTTAAACCCAATGAGAACAACACAATTGTTGGATTTTCTTCAGTAACATAAGATGTTATTCTGGACACATGAAATAGGAAGAGAGAAAGTTCTGACGAGTTAGGGTTTCAGCAGGTCAGAGTATGAGAGTGCATACAAATTCCTGAGAGAATTTAGAAGGAAGGGTAAGAAGAGTGATTACAGTTTGGGGCCATAAAATTTAGTGGGAAAAACAAGTAAGTGAGAATATGAGGCAGATAATGCATGGTGGTAAACTGACAAGCTTGCACATGTCAATGAAGTAGAAGATTTTTATTGTAAGAATAAGGAAACATCTAAAAATGAGCTGAGAAAACAGGGCTGGCATTGCACATGTATAGTCCAAGTTATCTGGGAGGCTAAGGCAGAAGGATTGCTTGAGGCCAGGAACTGGAGACACATGGGCAACACAGGGAGACTCTATGCTAAAAAACAAGAAAGAATGGCTGGCGGTTTAGCTCAGTGGCACCATGCCTGCCCCACAAGTACAAGGTCCTGAGTTCGATCCCTAGTACCGGAAAAAAAACAAAAAAACAAAAAACAAGAAAGAAAGGAACCAAAAAACAGTGGTGGTGGTGGTGGTGGGGAAGGACATTAAAAGGACATAAAGCATTCCTTAAAGTAGAAAGTTTGAGATTGAGATTGAAAGGTTTTGGGGGAAGAAGGATCTACTTTTATTGCTTAGAGGAAGTAGCCAAGGCTGTCTCTAGGTGAGGAGGACAAGTCCTAAGAGGCCAATATCCTTGTGTATGCTGAAGTCACAGTAGCAGTCATGAAGATGACAAAGTTTTCAGTGAGTGAGACTGAGGCAAAGGTAGGGAAATGATGGTGAGCAGTAGGGTGGCATGTCTGATAGTGTGACCTTCAAGAGAGCTGTGTGTGCATTTCTTCTTTAGAATGAAGGTAAAGAAATGGTTTGGAAGTAATCATTGGGAGCAACAGGTGCACCAAGCCCTTCTCTATGAAAATAAATATGATTCACTCGAGAGGGCTGCAAGGAATGTAGGACAGTTAGCTGATACCTATGATGTGACTGACAGGCAGACAGACAGACAGATGCTCTCTCACCTAACCCTTGATTATTCATACTCTACTTTGTTGATTATAGATTTTATTCCCATATTGTCATGAGAGAAACTTTAGGAATCTACCACAGGATAGCAGGGGAGAATAAAAGATTCAATTTTGAAAGGAATGTATCAGAAGTTCTCAAACCTGCCTGCCCATTCGGTTCACCTTGGGAATTTCTTAGACATTAGTTCCTGGTCCTAATAGGGGGCCAATAAAGTCTGATAAGGCCCTGAACTGTCCCCTTCCACTGCTCCAGACCTTGGGTAATGAGCAGGCAGGATCTATGTTAAAACACCTGTCTTTGTGGAAGCAGAATGTGTGTTTCTTTTAAGACTGTTGCCATTAACCTGTACTTTCCATTTAAGACAGAATAACTGAACTAAAATATAAAATATATATTAAGTAGGGTAGTAATTTAATATCCTACTTAGAAAAGAAGTTTAAAGATTACCAAAAATCTTTAAAACCAGTATGGAGAAACAAAATAAGCTTAAGGATAAAAAAAAATGACAGTGTAGGAAAATGTACAAAATTCAGCCTAGACATACACCAACATTGTAAGTAGGAATATGAAAAGGAGCAGGTTTGGTGGAATGTTCTTGAAAAATGTACTCTCTTACTCATGTTTATACCAATCATCATTATCACACTAGTCAAGTAAGGATGGTTTAAACTTCCAGGAAAAACCTTCAATACTGAAAAGAGAAATGAACTTAACCTCATGAAGTGATGTCTGCATAGTAGTCTAATTCCCCTACATGCTATTTATTTGTAAGTAATGTATATTAGTTAAATCATATAAAAACATTTAGTAAGTATAGTATTTCAAGGAGAGGAAACAAGGTAGTTAATGAAGACAGGTAATGAGAACAAATGCACTGATGTCTGGTTAGTTGTCAAACATCCTCTGAGATAATATAAAAACCTTACTTGATATGGTTAAATGAATTCGTATCGGTATTGCAGGTTTTAATCAAAAACTATACTGTATGTTTTTATCATCAGGTTCGGTTTGCATAAAGATGGGATAAGAAAGAAAGTTATGTTATCCCTGGACACAGAAAAATGAAAATGTTTCAGTATTACTGTTGCCATGAGAGTTCAAATATGTACTGATTAAATATAAAAGATTAAATATAAAGATGGTAATATATTATGACATGAAAATCATCACACTATTAAATGTATTCACTCATCTAACACATTTGCAACTATTTACAGACTTAGTTCAAAAGGGAATCCAAACTTCTGACTATCAAGTTAATTTTTATGTCCCAAATACAATTTTTTTACTATCTGTATTATACACTAAAAGTGTTAATCGAACTTTTAGTCAACCTGATCTTAAATCAAAGTGACTTTTTTAAAAGAAAAAACTCCATTTTTTATGAAAATGTAAGACTATTTTGATTAATACTTTGTAATTTCTTTGTAATGAAAGTTAACTTGAGCTCTACACTGACAACCTGCTTACTTTCTCATTTTACTAAGTTACTAGTAACCCATTAGCGATGATTTACAACGTGTATTGTTTTCTTTCTGCTTTCAGTAAGACAGAACACCTCTGACTTTCTCAGCTATCATTCCCAACATCTTACCTCCCTCCTCACTCAGATCCTCAAGGTTCCATCTACTTTTCTATTGGCTTTGATTACTTTAAATTTAAAAATCCAGATAATAAAGAGGAACTCTCATCTCTCTGAAAGTACTTTTGGATCACCAAGCAAATTGAAAGAATAGATTTTCTCATTATTTTTTTAGTATTTATTTCTGGGGAATGAAGTTGAGACACTGTGTCACCCGAAGCATAAATAATGTAGGTGAATGCAGCTACTGACATTAACTTGCACTTTCTATTTAAGACAGAGTTAACTGAAATAAGATATAAAATATATGGGGTAGAGGTTGGGACATGGGAAAAATTCAGAGTTTAGAATAAAAGTGCAAAAATGAAACTGGATTAGTAGAGGACAGCCATTCTCCTGGGACAAGTGACATTAACATCACCCAGAAACCTGACCTCAGTGCAGAAACTCTAAGTGTTCTCATACAAATACTGAGAATTCTCATTCAATAAATATACAATGAGTCTATGTCCCAAGTACTACATGAGCAACTAAGGTGACAAAGATAAAAAGACATAGCCTGCATGCACAGGTAATTCTATGTATTAGCTATATTTTCACCTGGAAGACAAATTTTCTGTTAGACTAAGAAAGTTTATTTTGTACAGTTAGGGTGAAAATATCATTAAAGTCAAATGATCCTGTCATTTCTGACTAATCATCAGAGCTATGATTAACAAATATAAACTATATTTTTTTCCTGAGAATGTATAATATTCAGTCTTGAAGCAAGATAAAAGGAGAGACAGAAGCGCTGAAAAAAAAAGGAGATGGAAAAAAATCTACATCTTTCCATAGTGATGAGGTGTCAAAAACAAAGAAAATTATATGTAGTATTTACTGTTTAATCATTGAACAAACTTCTAAATGCTCCTGAAGAGCATCTAAAACTGGGGTTGACAAAGGCACTAAAGAATAAAAATGAGTGAACTAATATGACTGCAAGTAAGTTAAATGGTTCCTTCTTTAGAAGCCAATATGATGACTACCATCCTGCAGGTCTGGCTTCAGGAAGATCTGAATGGAATGAAGTATCACCACCTCTTCTCCATCCCAGGACTGTCAAAGTATGCAAAACACATGCTATTAAAATGATGTCAAGCCCTTGACTTCGCCTGCCTGCTTGCTTCCTTTTTATAAAATGCCAGCTTCCCAGCTGATAGGCTTTTGCAATGGGATAATTATTGGGAAATCAAGAAATTGTATGCCCTTTTCTTTATTAAGACAAATATAAAATGTATATTAAGAACTATTGCCATCTGTATCATTCTGAAAAAGAAAGCAATGCTAATGAATGCACACATATGAACAACACCTTCACTTGCTCCACAAAACAAATTTATCAAAATGTTACATGTTGAGCAAACCAACTTACCTTCGAAGGTGGAGAAAGGCCGTGTAACACTGCTTACGGAACTCTTGGTACTGCTCACTCTGGGTGCCCCCCATTCCTTCTACCATTTCTTTGTTCAGCTTCATTGGAGGAGGAAGAGGCTTTGGATCCCGACCCAAAATATAGCCAAAGTCTATGTGGAAGAGTTTGCCTGTATGTTGACAAGAAACTCATTAGTTTCCAGAATTATCTTTAAAAACTGGGAAGGAGATATGCAGTACAATTGGTATAAGCAATGTCTCTTCATAAAATATATTAGTTCATGAAGAAGCCTATTAAATCACCTGGCTCCTTATCTCCAGATTTGAGTTCATCCTGCAAAACATGTTTTAGTTTACTTTAACTCATATTCAGATGAAACCAAACTTAAAATCATCCCATATTAATATTGAATTAAAAATTTAAATCCTACATAGTACTTAGATCTCTAAAACCAAATTCTGGACAACTTTTTAAGCAATCAGCATAAATTAAAATCTATTAGCAAATTTATCATGCTAACAAATTTAGGTGAACTGCACTTCATGCAGAGGAAGACTATTTTTAATTTAAGTATTCCTGAAGTGCATAAATCTTTCCTTTATAACTACAAAAAAAATCCCTCAAATTTCAAATTACATTGTTAGTTTCAGCTAAACTATTTTCAACTAGTCTGTCACTCATTAGCTTCAGAGTAGGAAACCAAATACAGCATTTTTGTCTACCAAGAGCTGAACACACATAGTTCCTGTCAAAAAAACGCTCTAAATTCATAGCACAGACAGGGAAAAATGTCATAATTCGCTTTAGAGGATGACTCACCTCAGAATTTGTAAAACCTCTTGTTATTTACAAGTAACCATACAGTATGGACACATTTTAACCCAAAAAGTAACTGCATGGAACCTATGATATGAGATCTTGCAAGCCAGAGGTTTAGGATTTATGTCTCCCTTGTGCAGGATTTATATCCCCAGCCTCAAAACGGTTTCTGACACACAGTAGGCACTCATTACTGAATGAATTAGCTTAAAAAGCTAACCAAAAATCTTTCTAATACAATCTGCCTACTCTTGCCCATCTTATAATACATGACCTATTTTATATAGAAATTTATCCTGTCATATTTGAGAGCCTGGTTTCTCCCCCTCAAGTGTCCTAGCCAAAAGCTTTCCTTCTTGAATTACATTTACTGGGTTTCTGAACACATTTGCCATCTTGCAAAATATTTTTACATACTGACTGTGCCACTAAGACATTTATACTGCTTTGTCTGAGCATTATTACTGTCATTAAGTCAGCCTGGGAAACACATGAAAAAATGGGCACACAGCTGCTCAGGCTAGAAAGCAGTGAAGGTTCAGGGCAGGTGTGCACTGGCAAGCACCCGGATCCAGGAGTACAGTTGCCCTGTAGCACAAAAGAGCCCTTCAAGCTTCACATGGTTGAATATGTGGCCTTGACACACTCGCTTAACTGCACAACAGGATGATATTAGTAACTCTCTCGTGAGGCAGATTTAGAGAATGTAAGAATATAATTAATATCAAAGTAACTGGTGCACAATAAACACATGTTCCCAAACAAGTTATATCGATAGACATGTCAAGAAAACAATAACAACCACAACAACAACAACAACAACAAAAACCTCAATTAAAGAGAGAATAATGATATCAATAGCTTTGCTCCATTCCAGAAGTTATGCCACTTAGTCTGTTCCGGAATCGTGGAAAGAAACACACAGAGACACAGAAGATGGGTAAAATAAAAATTTACTCATGAGTGGCAGGAATGCCAGAAACTGGTCTGGCCGGAGTCCGTGCCCTGTGTTCTTTGTCCATCACCTTTTATACTTTTGTCCGTCATTATCTCATCCCTAGTGGTCTTAGTAAATAAAGTTCCAATTCCTGCTTAATGGTTAGACACAGGTGGTTTCTGTCACTGATTACAGTCCTAAACAAATGACAGTTAAGGCACATACATCACAAGTTTGTTCAAGGATTCCCACTTTGTTCTTCAGAGCTAGGATGTTATCTATAGCGGAGCTGCAGATCAAAGGAGCTATATAACCTTCACTTAAAACAATAGAAGCAATGGGCTAAGGCAAGCTTTTAAAGGGATACACTACCTATTCTGCTTTCACAACTAATTTAATAGCTAATCTACTAACCTTACTTTAAAACTTTTCCCTATCAGTCGAGAGGAGAAAATCATTTTAATCCAACAGGACTTAAAACTAAACCAAGCCATTTATTATCTGACAATCAGGTCTCTTAAAGCTGCTTAGAAAAGACTGTCTTAAATTCTTCAGATACTACTTAGAAATGAAATTCTGAACAACTTGAAGATCTCTGGATACACTGAATTGATATTTATATGCCCATTATATCTGAGGTTCATGCTGGCAGGAATTACTACTATTACATATTAAGGAGCTAAGTAGCTTCATGTTTCACAACTCTTTGGGGCATCTTTCTCACGAGGAAAAATTAAATGACAAATTAATCTGGACATTTTACATAACTGAAAATGAGAAAGAACTTAGACTCTGGTCAAGTATGACCAATTATGATACTAAATATAAGTAAAATTCTAGATAGTTAGTAGTGCTACTTTTATGTAAGTATAAAGAAAACTACTGCAAATTATCTGGAGTAAACAGAGTTGTACCAAATTTGAGGCATGGGCTTCATATACAGAGGAACAGCGTGTGTATGAATGATTATAACAACTATCCAAAAGCTTATCAGTTGGCTGTAGATAAGTAGCTGCTACAACATGCATGGAAAATAAGTTTTTCCCTTTATTCAATCATCTCCTTGTCTTTTATTTTTTGTGTGCTTATTGCATTTTTCTTTTTGGTACCAGGAATTGAACTCAGGGCCTCATCACTGCACTGCTGAGCTACCTCTCCAGTACTATTTTTTGTGTGCTTTTTTTCTGGTACTGGGGATCAAACTTGAGACCTTGTGCTTGCAAGGCAGGTTTTGGAACCACTGAGCTAAATCCTCGGCCTTGTGCTTATTTTTTAACTTACACTAAGCTTAAAAGGTTATGGTCAAATTGGAAAACTGGTCAAAATCTTTTAAGAACTGATTTTCTAAAAAACTGCTATTTCTAGTACAGGAAGGGCACACAATGGAGGTGAGATGAGAAGGAATCATAATTAGAGAGAGAGGAATGGGAACCGGAACATGGCTTTTGTGATGGTTAATCTTCATTGTCAACTTGTACGGCTTAAGAGGTGCCTGGGAGATCAGTTTCTCCTTTGAAACCAGCCAACTGGGCACCGGAAACGGAAACTACGGCCAAAATAAACCTTTTTTCTTTCAAGTTATGTGTGCCAAAAAGCTGACCAATACAACTTTTTTTTTTTTCTGAAACTATAACAAAGATAGCCATAGCTAAGTGATTTCCCTAGCTCATACTAGGGCTACCTACATATTAGCAGACATTTGGTAAGCAGTTAAAAATAAGGCTCCTACTTTACCTATGTTTTTTAAGAGTACGCTTGAAATGATCTGGCTGTTTGTTCAGCCCCCCCCCCCCGCAACGTTTTTTAAATACTTGAGACTGAGCCAAACAATCCCACCCCCCCTTTCTCAGCCACAACCTAAACACATAGCACCCTCTTTTTAAATTTGTGACAAGGTCTTGCTAAATTCCCCAGTCTGGCCTTGAACCTGTGATCCACACGTATCAGCCTCCAGAGTAGCTCTATTATAGGACCCCAGGCCTCCCCTAAAATGCTTAAAAAATTTATTTATTTTAAAATTTTATTTTAGTTTATCCATTCCCCTCTCAAGCCCCCTCCCCTCCCCATGTTCAAAAGCGTTGTTTCCATTTTTTCCTTCTATTTTTTCTTCTTGTTCCCTAAAACTCTTAATGAACCAGCAGCAGTCTTACAATCACAGATCATGTTTTATTATCTTTGTTATACTCCTGAGACCTAGGACAATTACTAGCACACAGGAATACTCAATGCATTTACTTTACCAATGACATATTAATTCCAGATATCACTCAGGCTCAGACAACTTCTATTGTTTATTTTTATTTATTTATTTATTTTTGGTACCAGGTATCGAACTCAGACAACTTTTAAACATTGCTGATGCCAAGAATTTTCCTCTAGAATTTGTTATGAAAAATTGTGTTTAATTTCTTTCACTTCCATGGTGATCTACAAAAATTAATAGAAGCCAAATATGGATCATCTGAATGCCACCTGCTTTTTGGGGTTGGTATCAAACAGCAATGTTATTTTAATTGATGCTAGCTAATACTAACAGAACAGAAATAATTATGCAGATACTCCCTGATTTAACAATGAAGATTATGTTCCCATAATCCCACTGTTACACTGAAAACACCGTAAATCAAAAATGCATTTACTACACCTAACCTACTGTAGCTTAGCAACACAGTACACTGTAGAGCAAGGGGGTTTATATTGGGGATCACAGGGATACTACACAGGGAGCTACAGTTCACTGCCACCACACTGCACAATGAGGGTACCATACCGCACGTTGTCAGCTCAGGAAAAGAGCCAAATGAAAAATTTAACATGTAGTTTTTAATGACTGCATACTGTTTTTGTACCAATGTAAAACAATCCATCATTAAGATGGAGACTTTACCTTGAATTTATATGATAACATCCCGAGTAAACAGAAGTTTGAAAGTAATTTAGATTAAGAAAAGTAACTGAAGGATCTTAACAGTAGATATAAAAGTAAAAGCACTGGAACTTACTCTACACTATCTGTATTACTGCGAGTGGCAACTTGGTTGCAATAGTGTATCACTTGTTATGTTATTGTTGCTGAATCAAATTATAGTAATCAATACTGTAACACTGATTTAATTCATAAATCTGCTTTTTGTTTTATAGTTATGTGCAAGTAGACGTACAAGAAGTTAGTATCCGGCTTTATGCTACACACATTTAAGATGCTCAAACATGTCACCTAGGGCAGTGATGGTGAACCTTTTAGAGACCAAGTGACTAAACTGCAACCCCAAATCCAGTCATTTATCACAAAGTGGCAGCACTGCAATTAAACCAGAATAGTGAGATTTCAGTTTAGAAAAAGCAACTCAGAAATTAACATCTTTTGTCTTAAAAACACAATAACAAAAAGAGACCTCCAAATCGCCGCGCCA